CCATCCTTGTCTCTAAGCAAACCTACCTCCCTGCTCTGCGGCCTTCTAACCTCCACACAGCAGATAGGTGTGGAGGTTCTTCGAACAGCCTTGAGTTCTTGTATCTGCATAGCTGAGGGCCTGTCGTGTGTCTATATCATGAGTCCCATCTTTGCTTTCTGCACCTCTCACTGACAATGACTCCCATTTACATGGCACCTTCACCCCCAGCTTGTCAGGGATCTGCTATGTTTTTATTTCATTTACAATAAAAGTAACTGAGAAAACAGAAATAAATCAATTCCACCATCTTGGAACGTTCCTTTCCCTGCCCTTCGATTGCATCGGGGTGAGCAGCACACGGGCACGTCCAGCTCACAGTAAAGCACCGGGACAGTCACTGATAGAGCAGGAGCCAAGGCTGGAGTTTCGGAAGTTGACTTGGTGGAAATGAGTGTCCAGATTGACCCAATAGCTCAGCACCCAGCAGCTCCCGTCGTTCTCAGCTGGGGTCTGAGAACCCTGCATTGTTCTCAATGGGAGTGGGCTGGGGTGGAATCCTCTATTGTTCTCAGTGGGGGTGGGGTGAGGACGATTCTCCATTGTTCTCAGTGGACACTGCTAGCACTTTTGAAAAGCGGCCATAGAAGCTTAGGCAGCTAACGGGGTATCTTTGAGGTCTGCTGGGCACTCAAGGGATTACCATAAAGGACCCTAAGCTCCCAGGTGGGTGAGGTGGACAAAGGGATGGGGCAGAGGCGTGGGTAAAGGCTCCTTACCTGGCATGTTCAAAAGTCCTCCGAGGGGTCCTGTGTGCTCCAACCCCTCAGGCACAGGGACCCCATCAGGTGCAGGGGAACACGCTCGCCCCAGCGCTGCTGACTGGCCAGGCGCGTCCAAACACCATGGACCCCTTTGCACTGCGATGAAGGGATCAGCAGACAGCCAGGGCAGGCTGGGTGCGAGTGAGGGGGGGGTGGGAACTGGCAGGTTTCCCCTGTCGGGAGGTGCTGGAGGGGACAGGGCATAGATCCACAGGAAGGGGGCAAAACACAGGAAGGTTCTTATCTGGTTGGGGGCTGCTGCACCACAGAGCAGGTGCCCTGCTTCCAGCCACAATCCTTTTCCACAGCAAACCTGGGCAGTCAGCAGGTACCTGCCCCGGGGCTGTTTGTGGGTGGATGTATCGCCATTGAGAGCTGGAAAGGAGCCGTGTGCCGCCAGATAGGGGGGTTCAGTCACTTTTACTTGGGACGAGAGTGAGCGTTTCCTTGGCAAGGTTGAGAGCTGAGACGGCTTCAATAAACCCCTTTTGCGGATGGGAACAATAGTTGTTCGGGGACAGTCCTGGCCAACTTTAGAAGACTCTACATGGCACACAGAGCCCTGGTATAGCAGAAGGGAGGGGGGCACCCAGCGACTCTGCCATGCAAGAAAAGGGAGTTGCCCCTTCCTCAACCACAGTCTATGGGCCTGATCCTGCTGAAATCAGTGGAAGGTTGCACTGGCTACAGCGGGAGCAGAAAGGCCCCGTGTCAGACACACTCAGTCCATCGGCCGAGGGTCCCAGCTCAAGGAGGAGCTGAGCTCTCGCTGCGAAAGGGATGGATGCAGCGAGGCTTCCTGGAGGTCGGCATGAGGGATTTGCAGGAGGAAAGGGAGGGCACTCAGCATGCAGGGAGGGGCAGCGGTTGGAATCCTCCTGTCTGCTCTCCTGTAGGAGCAGCGTAGGCTGACCGTACGTCCTGTTTTGACCGGGACAGTCCCTTTTTTAAGCCCCACCGTGGCCCTCCCGATTTTTTTGACAAAAGTGGGCATTTGTCCCATTTTCTCTTGCTAACTGATCGAGTTGGCAAGAGCAAATGGGACAAATGCCCACTTTTGTTACAAAGTGGTGTAAGGTACGGAGGAACGTGCAGGGGGGACAAGTGGAGATGCCAGCCCCGTGCAGGTACTTTTGTACCTAGGGAAAGAAACAAGGCTTCCCCCTCCTGACCCAGGGTTTGGGGCCGGATTTTTGTGGGAGGAGCGATTCTATAGGCCTTTCTGCTGAACTTTGTGACAGAGGGCTATTGGCTTTCTCGAGGTTCAACTTCACAGCCCCAAACCCTCTCCACGCTGGGTAGGCTCTTAGTGATCCCTTAAAGCCCTCACAGTCAGCACAGATCTTAGCCCCTGAGCCTTGGACACTCGGTGACGGGTACCAATCACTGAGCTCTCATCTGGGAATAGCCCCAAAGGGCTTTCCCTGAGCTGGGCTGCAGAAGGGGGACTGCTAGAGACAGGCCATAGGAAGGAGGCAAATCCCTGACAGTTTCTTTGAGTGTGAAGATGGAAATTCCCCATATTACCCATCACGTACTGCCCCACATACCCGCTAAGGGGTATAACCCTTCATCTCTCTTCTGTACCACCCACCTCTCCCCTATGATGGGATTTGCACCTTTAAGGAGCCCTTTGTGCATCTCCAGCACGACTCTGTAAGCTGGGAGCTGGTCAGGGCCCATTCACCCTCGCAAGCCCAGGCCTCAGGCACCGACAAAAAGCAACCACAGCTTTGCATCCCCTTTAAATAAATTGCTCTAGGGGTGGCCCTACGGTGCTGGCTGTTCCCTCCTCACCCCTCAATTATGGGAGAGTCCCCCTCACACACAGATTGAGGGCAGAGAACCAGGCAAACGAGCTTCAGATAGCAATACAAAACAACTGGCTTGAGCCCCCACCCCAGTCATCTGGGAAAACTAAACCCATCCCTGGGCATCTCTAAGAGGTATTTCCCCATTCGCAAGCACTGAGTCTGTGTGTAACAAAAGAAAACCTCAGGGGGTAGCCGTGTTAGTCTGTATCCACAAAAACAACTAGGAGTCCGGTGGCACCTTAAAGACTAACAGATTTATTTGGGCATAAGCTTTCGTGGGTAAAAAACCACTTCTTCAGATGCATCTGAAGTGGTTTTTTACCCATAAAAGCTTATGCCCAAATACATCTAAAAGAAAACCTGTATTAAAAAGGGAAAGAGAACCCAGCATTAATTTGGGAAAACACCACAACCACATTCAAAAGCATGTAACCAAACGTAAACACCCACCTCACACTGTGATGGGCAGTGTCCTTTGCCTCAGTTTCCAACCTCGCGATGTGAAAGTCCAACAAATGAATGTCCCTTTAACACACCAACCCCCTTTCCCTCTGCTGCACCCCTCTCACAGTGGGTTGACGTTGGTCAGCGAAGCCCCAGAGTTCAGCGTTGCATTCACACGGGTTCACCTCCCACTCCGGAAAAGGGGGGCGATATTGAGCAGTGCCTCCGTGCCTGCCCCGGCCTCTGCAGTTGGCTCATGGCTGCGGCTGCTATCTCTGCCATCACGTGCCACTGTCCTCTGCTGAGCACCGCTGTTATCTCTGCTGCCGCTTGCTACCCTATCGGCTACCACCGCCACTGCTTGCCACTCACTGCCATGTCCTGAGGTCCCCCCACCAGTCCCAGCCCTCAGTGATTTCACTGACACACGCAGTGGGGGAAGATATGACCTCGTCCTCCCCTCACCAGGCCATGCTGCCCCCGCTGCCCCCCGACGGGCTGTGTTGCTCTGAGGATCGGGGACTGGCGAGGCCGGGCAGGGGCAGTGGGGGACAGCTGCCCTCGGTTCCCATGGAGACCGAGCTGTCTGGAGCTCTCCCAGGCTGTGCCCAGCCAGGAGCCCACGGGCAGCTGCCAGCCCAGCCTCCCCTTAGCGCCCACAGCCGGCTGGGACAGTCCTGCCCCTGCAGAACTCAGCACTGCCCCTGCGGCTCCGTTACCGAGGCTGCCAGCTGGGGTGGCCCCCTTCACCTGGCCTGCCACAGCCCATTGCCGAGGGGAGGCAGTGCCAGCCCCGGCTGGGGAACATTTGCTCCCGGGGGCCCAGAATGGCCCCCACTGGATGCTCCTGGAGCAATGAAGCAGAGACTCGGCCTGAATCTCCGCTCACTCACCCGGGGAAATCAGGCGCTAGGCCATGGCAGCCGGGGGAGGGAGAGGAGCGGCAGCTCCAGACGCACAGCTGGCTGGCGAGAGTCACCCCAGGGCTCGACCCCCCCACCCCGCGCCTCACTGGCTAGGGAAGGACCCCACGACTCCATCCACACACCTAGTCCTCGGTGGGGATCCCCCGGCCCTTGGGCGCTGAATACACGGAGCCCAGCCACACAGCTGAGCTCAAGGCACCTGGCTCCACCAGCCGTACACCCCCGGTACCGCCTGGGCGAGTGCTACCATAACCCACGGCAGCGAGCACATCTCTGTCTGCCCCCTGATAGCCATGGGGGGCCACCGGGGTGTGCGCCCACTGCTGAGCTGTCCCTGCTCTGAGGCCCTGGGCTAAGGGCCGTGGTTCTAGCGGTTGCCATGGAGGCCAGGAACTCCCTCCTGTCGCTGGGTTCTCCTGCCCTGCAGGCCCCATGTCTGTGAGCAGGGGAACATCAAGGGTTCCCTGCCCGACATGAACGTTGTCTACGAGGCCAAGGATGAAGGGAAAGCCAAAGCGCAGGCCGGGCCGGCTGCTGTCTTTGCAGGTGCAGGGGACTCCTCCCACAGCAAGGGGAAGGGTGACCCAAACACTCAGCCTCCCTTCCCCCGCCCCTTGCCCCTGAGACGGGTGCCCTGACTCCCTCCCTGGTCTGTGCCCAGCCTTGCCAGACCCTTCCTGCCAAACGCCTCCCTCTCCTCATGTGACAACAGTGAAGAATCACAGGAAGAGGCGCTTTCTTCCCACACTGAACAAGAGGCTCTATCGCAATAAGGGAAAGAGCGTGATCCCTAAATCTCCTCTACAGAGCGGCTCCCTACAGCCTTCCCAGCCCCACTCCTGCCTGGCCCACCCTGATCTCTAGGAGCCGTGCTCCTGTCCACACCGCATCCCACCTGCCTCCTTAATCCACTGACCAGGGCCAGAATTGGCAGGGAGGCTGTC